ACCCTAGGGCCAAATTTCCCCCAAACTATTCCATGTAATACACTTCATTTATGAGAAAAAATATATAATTATTTACAAAATATAATAAATATTTATTAACCATCTTGGGAAATGCTTTTACGAATGCGCCTTTGGAGACGGCCCAATTACACACAAGTGGGATTCGAACCCACGGCCATGGAACATCCCGCTCCCCACCACTACATCACCACTATTTACACGTACCAGTTCATGAAGAACAAAACGTCCGCGAGAACCATTTTCTTCTAATTCAGATACAAGTCGAAGGGGGAACGTTTGTAAGTTTGTACTCACCTAGTTGTGTTTCCGGGGGTTGAGTTCTGGCTCTTTGGTCCCGCCTCTCAACTGTCAATCAACTGGAGTACAGGTTCCTGAGCCTACTGGGCTCTATCATATCTACATTTGAAACTGTGTATGGAGTCAGCCTCCACCACATCACTTCCTAGTGCATTCCATTTGTTAACTACCCTAACACTGAACAAATTCTTTCTAACGTCTCTGTGGCTCATGTGGGTACTAAGTTTCCACCTGTGTCCCCTTGATCGTGTTCCCCCCATGCTAAAGAGTTTGTCTTTGTCCACCCTGTATCCACCCTAAACATATTGTGTTTACACATCCCGTGAAGCCGTCGATGTGGAAAGACTCAATAATTCGGTATATAATAATATGTTTCACCCCCGTGTTCTCCCACGGGGACAGGAAGCCTGGTACAATTATCAACGTCCTCCTCTGGCAACTGATTACTTTCATCACGATGCAACGTATGTTAGTTACCTTACTCCTGGGTACCTATTTACTGCTAGGTTAAGACGCATCATATTAAGGAGACAATGGCCAACTGTCTCATGTTATACATACTGACACGTGATACATATCAACGCGTGATACCTGTTGACACGTGATACATACTTTCATGATACATATACACGTTATACATACTAGTAGACACGCATGATACTGATAAGTGACACGTGTCATATGTGTCATATAAGTGGGTTGACAGCGAAGGTTCACGAGAATAAAATATTCTAATTTGAAAGCTTTTCCGTACCTATGTATACAACAAAAAAACAATGTCTGCCACACAGTTAAATTGACTTCCTCTTCCAATTCAAATCGGTGTTTTATTTTTGGCTTTTGACGCTCCAGATTCCAATAACTACGAGCGAGTGGTGTCGAGACGCTTCGAATCCCAGACGTGGTGGTGAAGGGCGTGCCCACACCACCTCAGTTGTCAACCAGGTCCGGCAGCAGCAGGAGTCACCACTACTGCTCTTGGGGTTTTCGTCTACTGGTGCTGAAAACATTTAAGTGCGTAGAACGTTCTTTGTTTAGTTATGGATTCGATGAAAACGATAAATTTAAGTCCTCTTATGTTTTATATTTCATCAAAAGTTGATTTTTTTTATATTGTACTCGATGATTCCATTACTTCCGACACTTCAAATTTGTAACTGCGAACACAATATTATTCCAGAGTGTGGATAATGCCTGTGTGGGCCGTGTATAGTTGGCTCCTGCTAGCTGTGCTTCACCTGTCTACTAAAGGTACCAATTTTTAACTAGCTTAATTAAATTATTAATTGGCTTAAATTAAAGTACTGTACTTGAATGTTTTCGCTAAAATATCTATTAAAGTAATCAGTTTGTCATAATTTCTCATTCTCCAGGACTGTCTGTAAATGTTTCAAGCGGCGGCAGGTGTTGCTATGGTGAACGCCGCGTCCAGCACGGTGAGGTGGTCCTCAGTGTCCCTGACTGTTGCCTCACCCTTGTCTGCCTCAACGGTCATATTGAACGCAAATATGTAGGCGGTCCTGGGGAGTCACACTGTGAGTACATTACTCATGAAGTTAGTTTGGGTACTTTATTAGTAGTTACAATGTACTTAAATTAGTGGTGTTTAAGTATTAGACGGCAAAGTCTACTAATATCGGCACAAAGCAGTTTAAAGATTACCAAATAGTGTAGACATGTATCAGACTGGACTTTAAAAATTTCTTCTACCCTTCCTATTGTACGAGTGGGGCCCCCTTTAAAAATTAAAAAAATTTAGCACAATTGCATTGTGGTAATTACTTAATGTCAATTAAATTGTATTTGACATATGGTGGACTTTTAAGGTTGTCCAGCATCCTGGTACTCAAACACTGGTTGAAAAAGGCTGTTCCAAACAAGACTTTCTAAATTTTAGAGTGTCTAGTAAAGACACTAAATTTTGGTGATACCAAGTCGTTTCTCTTACGAAAATATGCATATCAAATGAGCTTCATCCCCCCAGGTTGTGAATTTGAAGGTCTAATGTATGTAGACGGCTCTAAGCTGTCGGCTCACTGCATCCCCCTACAGTGTGCAAAGGGTGTCTGGACCCCGACACAACACATTGAAGACTGCTGTAAGTACCATTTTTGACTACTTTGCATAAGTATCAGACTGTTACAGAAGTGGCAAATTCCATTTGGTTTAATTTTCATGACTAAAACTAATTGTGCTTGCAGGTAAACATTGCTACCTGTACAATGACCCTCACATAGAAACCTTCGACCAGTTCAGATACGACTGGCACGGTATCTGCAACTATTCTGTAGCCCAGAGTGACCTGACCTACACGCCTGAAGTTGGGGTCTTTAGTGACTTTGATCAGTGTAATGGGCACGCGTCCTGCCTCTCCCGCACCACCTTCAGGGACAATCCTCACACTGTTATCACTCTGGACTCTGGATCAGTGTTTGATGTAAGTTAAGGCTTAAATAAACTAATGCTGAAACTAGTTGAATAACTCTACTAAATGCCCAGCTTAAATGAAAATCTTAATTTTGCAATGATTACAGATAACGGTGAACGGGGACCTGTACACTGTACCGGCCAGCGGAGCTCACGCAGTAGTGTCCTCTGCTGGTGCACACCCAGTACTGGCCTGGAGGGATGGAGGCTGCATCTACCTGCTCGGCTCCTCTAAGATCGTGGTATGCTTTTTCCAAAGTATTTTGTGGTGACTACTGTAACCTTGTAAGTGTAGGGGGATGGTAATGAATGTAATGCACTTGTAAACTGCCAAAAGTCGATAAAATTTTAAATGATCCAGCTCCAGCACTGTCGTCACCGGCTGGATGTGTGGGCGTATCCCAGTCATATAAACCACCTGGACGGCCTATGTGGACACTTCAACTTCTACAAGAACGACGACTTTACGGACAGAGACCAGCGCATCCACGCACTAAACTTCTGGCCCTTGGCTTTCCCAGAGTCCTGGAGGGTCGGTGTTCTCTACGCTTTGGTTTAAAGAATTTTTATTTTGATCTGGATGCTTTCCTAAAGCATTTTACTTGGATAAATTATTCGGTATATAAATTTGTATTAGTTTTCTTACTGAATTTATAGGTTACGTATCTCTTAACCTGCAGACAAAAGATCAAACGGATCGTACGTGCTACAAATGTCTAGATTGCCAGAACGAGACTGCAGTAAGTGCATCACTGTTTTGTCTAATGGTCATTGATGAGAATTAAACCTAAAGTTTTGTATAGTTTCTGGCTTTGCAAGATTAAATTTTATCAGAGTGACGGCTTTAGATTTTATTTGTTTAAAGTTACACCATAACTTGGCTGAACAGGCCATGGTAATAGAGCAATTTTACCTAAAGATTGTTCAATAAAATAGTTTAAGGGTACCGCGAATAGGAACAGTTTTTTAATGTTGGCATGAGAATCTTTAACTATTTGTACTCTAGAAAAGTTCACAAATTATTGCACAATTTAAAGTTCAAATCTTTGCCCCTTCCAAATAAGTTTATTGAATATTGTTAAATCTCTTAATGGTTCTAAGTTTCGTGCACTTCAGTAAACTATAAATATAACAATTCTGGATTAACGTAAATTTTGAGCAGGTGGACCCGTGTGAGGCTACTCCACTACAGCAGCGGGCAGACTCTGCCTTGTGTCGTAGGCTGCTGCACCCAATTATTGGCAAGGACCTGGACCTCCAGACTCACGTCGGTACGTCCCGGGGGTGTATTTACTACTTGGGAGGAAAATGTAGTGTCTAAAATATAACTACTCATTCTTAACTGGACGGGTTGTCGGTCTAGAAAGATGCGGGAATCTTTTTTTTTTTTTTTTTTTTTTTTTATCTTGAGGCCTTGTAAAGACGTAGAAAGATTGTAGTATAAATATGGCACGTCTGTACTTTCGTGGCTAGTAATACTATACCGAAACTGAACCAACTTAAAATTTTGCAGACTGTAAAACAAAGATGGCAGTAACCTTGGTAAACTTGTGAACCTCTAGTCTTAGCACTGTCAAATTTGTTAAAGTTTGCTCGCCATACTGTCTCCAGCATGCTGCACTATTCAGGGCTTCTAAACCCCTGTGCACAAGGGTGGGGGGAAGTGTATGTACCTTACATGTAGATGGCTGGAACACTTATAGTGGCTACTTTTATAAGTGAAATTTATAAAATTGACTTGTATAAATGTATTTAGTTCAAAGATGCTATGTCACAAGGCTCTTAATGCGAGAGATTGAGTGATTTCAAAGTATAAAAGTTAACGAAACAATGTTTTAAGTACGGACGAACAAGGGTTGAAATAATTTTAGGACAGTCTCCGCGTCCGTATTTAAAGTAGCCTATTGTACTAAATTAATGTAGTCTTCTCTTCTAGCGAGAAAAGACTGGTACAGTGTAACGCTCAGTACTCTTAAAATTAAGAGGCTAATTTATCTAAAAATTTAATAACTTGGAGAGCCTGAATAATTTTATATTGAAAGACTGGTACCGGAAGTTTTAAGGTTCCTTACAGAGACGTGTGCGTGGGACGTGTGCATGATGCGGGGAGCAGAGCCACGGAGAGGGAGCTGGCAGACTGGCTGCTCCAGCTCCAGATTATCCTCCAGCAGACAAAGCTCATCCTCGCCAGGACACTTGGTAAGTCTGGCCTAATATTGTCTATAGAAATTGTAATGAAAGGTAGGAGCCTAACATTGGTTCAAAGATTGGCGTCAAAGCTAGTTAGTATTGCTAAAGCTAATTACCAATAATGTTAACTTACTCTAGTAACTTTAGTTTCTAAAATACCTACTTCATACATTTCACTGAAATATATATTCGTGCAGTCTAACTAAACTAATTCGTAATAAGTATTCTAGAGACTATTTCCAGATGGGTGGGAGGCGAGGCCTACGCCCGTGGTGGGGTCGTGTGAGCACGGCTCCCGCTGGCTGGACAAGTGCAACTGGTGTTCGTGCTCAGACACGGGCGTGGCGGGCTGCACCAGGAAGGCCTGTGTAGACGGTACCTACTCTTCCTACTTCCGGTTAATGTGTAGAACGTATAAACTTTAACTTGTCGCAACGCGGCTGGTTGCACTATAATAAAGTTTACACGAAGTGGTGGAAACTTTACTAATTTTTTTTCTTATCTCTCCTGACTTAGATTACGAGCCGAAGCTTGGGAGTGAAGTATGCATCAACGGCTCCCGGTGGATGAAAGACGCTTGCAACTGGTGTGAGTGCGTCCGGGGCGGCGCCATCTGCACCTTCACGCCCTGCAGTGAGTACACACCTTGGATACTCTTAGACTTTCTAGTATAAATGCATTAGCTTGGCTCGGTGTAGCCAACTAACTTAAAACATGGCTTAGTCTAATGGATTTTGTAATTAAAGTAAAATCCCGAAGTTTCTCGCCGAGAATTTAAATTAAATTTGTACTTTCAAAATTAAACTTCAAAAGTACTATTTCCAGTGCAGTAATTTTTAAATTGCTCATTTTCAGACATCTTGGATTGTCCCTTGATAAAGTGCGGAGGGTCGTGTACACCAGGCAAAGATCCACTGACTGGTTGTCCCACGTGTAACTGCACAACCACTGAACCCAGTCGAACACGTACCGCCCCGCAGAGCACAACGTGTCCTCCTCTCGCTTGTCCTGACTATTGTAGAGTGGTCACAGACGTCCACGCAAGCTGTCCCACCTGCAGTTGTAACTGTCCTGTAGACCCCAGCACAGGGAGGCCGCCGTGTCCACTAAACTGTGGCATTATTTATACGTTTGATGAAGCGGGATGTGAAGTGTGCGTGTGCGATCCCGAGAACCCTGGCAACCCTCTCGTGGATTATGGCAAGGAGCTATTGGCACCAGAGCCAGCGTGCCCGACGGATCCCACCACAGGCTGGCCGCTCTGCCCTGAAGGCTGTGATGTTAAGTACCAGGAAAATGTCGACACTGGTTGTAAAGAATGCGTTTGTTATTAATAATCTCTATCCCTCTCATTGCTCCAAACTTAAGGGATGGCGTTTGTAATATTTGGTGTGTAAAAGACATTAACATTTCCTGGAATCTGAAGCACTGGTATTAATTACGTCTAGGACTGAAAATAGGAACCATCATTGGTCCAAATATTCAAACCCGAAACGCTAATTCTGCGTTGTCAAAATTGGTATATCGTATCCTGGAATATAATACAACAATTATATATATATATAGAATGTAGTGGGGCTTCGGGCAGGGTTTCCTGAGCTGACAATGAATCGGCCCAGTAATTGATAAATGTGCCTCAATAACTCGCTTGTTTAATTGGCTTTTGATGATGAAGTGATGGTTGCGTGTTTTGACGAGTTACAACAAAAAACTGACGCTATAATTGCGTTTCTTGCATAATTGTTTTTTGTGCTGGATCAAAATGTAGCTGGGAGTGTTTCATGGTTCTGAACTTGTAAACATTTTCTCATCGTGCTGAGATCTGAAGACTTTTATTGTTTAAGTTATTAAAAAAAATGTATGAAACCATAATAAATATTAAAAATTCAAAAGGTAATTTTTATAAGTTCATTTTTTCAAGCCTTTAAGCATAGAGCAGAGCCAGAAGTTGCTAAAATTTGTCCTGATTTTGATGGAATCAGTCTGCCGTTTAGAGATTATTTACGTTTGACTGGTGGCTCCCTCTAGTGCCTCCCTCCCTGTGGTGAGTGGGCTCGCGTACACCTCCCTGGGAACGGTGAGAGTGGTTGTTGATTTGGGGGCGACGACGATCGTGGGATCGGATGCGCCCCGGCGTACCCGTGTACGGTCAATTGCAAAGCCCGGAAAGGTGAAACTCTAAGCCAAATCGCGAAAAAAAGACGCCAATCATCGGAAACTTAATATGCCATGTGGCAAAGAAATGCAGACGGGCAGATAATTTGGAGCCCCAAGAGTCCCTCAGGGTGACAAGCACCGCACCCCCCTTTCACCAGAACACTGGGTAGCAAAACTAAAAACTCTGCCTCCTAACTAAAACGCAAAAGTCGTCCAGTGTCCACCCCCCCCCCCTGGCAGAGCAGAAGCCAGCCACCCACCACGGCTGAGGGGTCACTAGGAGCCCACCAAGATCTGCTAACCCCCGGCACCTCTCGGCCAAGCCGACCCCTGAAGTCACCCCGCCGGGAGAACCAGCCAGAACACGTAAAAAAAAAAGTTAAGGCGATATGTGCGCCAGGCGTCGTACAACCGGACCGTTGAATATGGATGCCAAACGGCAGTAGCAAAGCCAAAACGTGATCCGGCGGCTCTCAGGTGGAGGCAGCGTCCAGGCGTCCCGACCGGTGAGGGTTGCCTTCGCTCCCTTTCCTGCCCCTCATTAGGAGTTGTACATGCGAAGGGGCACAAACGTAGGGCCTCGAGAGTAAACCAACCACCAGCTGGAGGGGTCTTCCATCAGGAGCTGCCCTAAGTGGACGGCTGGGTGTCCAGGCTGGCGCGAAAGGTAGAATGGGGGTCTTTGCACCAATGTTGGAGAACGGACGAGGCAGTAGGACTCCCCCTTTTAAAAAGGGGGAAGAAACAAAGGTGAAAGAGCAACAGAGTACGTTAAAGAAGATCAGGGTCGGGATCAGGGTCAGCAAAGTCAGGGTTAGGGGGCATGGGTAAACTGAGCAAAGACGGAGGGAAGGAAACGGGAGAACAGATCAGAGGTGGGCGGGCGGGGTCCAGAGGAGGAAGAGGAGGAGACAACGGAGAGGAGCAGTCAAGGACAGCAGCAGGAAGAGGGGGAGTAGAAAGAGGGGAGCGCACCCCAGCAAGAGCAGCAACCGAAAGGGAAGCAGGGGCCAAAGAAACCTCCATAGCAGGAACAGGGGGCGTAATCACTGAAACGGGAGGGGAAGGAGCAACAGAGCCAGAAGTAGGAGCTGAGGAAGAAAGCGAAGCCTTCTTACCCGCCGGGGAGGAGGAAGGAGAGGAGCCAGGCTTACGCTTCTGACTTAAAGAGACTAGTGTCCCAGCAACTACGTACCGGGTAACGGATTCCAGTATCTCAACAGGAGAAGCTGAACGAGAGCACACACGACGGCCGTTAGGAGAGCGATGGACATCCTCCTGCACCGACAGGCGGCGGGGAGAGCCGACAGATGGAGGAAGAGGATGGGAAGGAGGATCGGAGGGGGACGAGGAAGAAGACACAGGAGACATGACAGACCGGGTAGAAAGAAGGGGAACCCCAGACAGAAGACCAGGAGGGGGACCCCTCGGGACAGAGGAGGGGGCAGTGGGCGTATCAGGGTCCAAGGCCCCGAAACGGTTGTGAGTCTGAGGAAGGCGGGAAGGACGAGGAGAGGAAGAGCGCAACACGCGAGCATAAGAGATGTTAGTATAAGGCGGGAGCCGGCGAACCTGGCGCCTCGCCTCAGGAAAAGATAAACGCTCCCGGTGCTTCAAGTTGAGGACGGCTGCCTCAAGCTTGTAATGGACACACGCACGGGAGAAGGTAGGATGGGCCTCACCGCAGTTGAGGCAACGAGCTTGGGGAGAAGCGCACTCCGACTTAGAGTGACCTTCACCCCCACACAAAGGACAGAGAGAGACAGTCCCAGACCAGCGGAGGGCACCATGCCCAAACCTCCAGCACTTGTTACAAAGTCGAGGAGAAGGAATATACTCCTGGACAGAGCACCTAGCACCAGCAAGAATGACAGAGGATGGAAGGGTCCTACCATTAAAGGTGATCTTCACAACGCGAAGGGGTTGACGGCGACGACCACGAGGGGGACGAGTAAACGAGTCAACCTGGAGGACAGAATGGCCTTGGGCATCAAGGATATGCCGAATATCATCGTGGCAATCCTTCAGATTCCGAACACCGGTTGCAACATGGGGTGGGAGGAGAATAGTGCCAACACTGGCATTCATCTGAACGTTCTTGGAGACCCGAACAGGGATCTCGCCAAGGCAAGATAAGGCAGCCAAGCGGGAAGCAGCAACGACACGTGTACCGAGACGAGTGGGGTTGAAAGTAACAGACGCATCCACAGAATCTACAAGATGCCGATGGAGAGAGAAATCGTCAGGAGGCGCAGAATCAAGAGGGAGGAGATCAAAGTATTTGGCCCATGAAGCAGGACCAAACAAGGCCTGATACGCATCAGCACGGGAAGGAATCGAGCGAGTGCGGCTGGGGCGCGAACGGCGTTGAGAACCCCTAGAGAGAGAGGGGTCAAAAGGCGCAGTAGTCACAACGAGAGACTTAGCCACACCAGGGGACGAAGTGGTCACCACCGGGGGCTGGAGGCTTGACCCAACCACAGAGGAGGGAGGGGAGCTGTGGGAAGAAGTCAGGACGGTCAAAGGAGGAGCAAGGTCGGGGCCCAACGCAGCCTGAGAGGGTACAACGGAAACATTCAACGACATAGAGACGAAAAGTGACAAATTCATCCACGAATGTGCCCCCATACCCACCATGGAGCCACAATTTGAGGGAGGACACCCAACAAGAAGCTATCGCCGATCATGCCGGGGCCCCCTAGGGGTGCGTCGTGAGTATACGCCCCACAAACGCCACCTTAAAAACCGACAGTCCGTCGAGATCGGGTTCAGCGACGAAAGAGGGATTGACAATAAAAGGTTCCCCTCGCTCGAGACGTTGGGTACTACAGTTCTACGGGTGCAAGAGTATGCCTCCTCAAGCACCCGGGCGTCAAAATAGAAGAAGTCCAAAGAAATAATCCAAAACAAGCAAAAGGTCGGCAGGAAACGACAAGCAGATAGGAGAAGAGGGGGGAGAAAAACGAAACATAAGGAAAAGGAAAAGCGATCTGGCACAATTAGAGAAGACAGCAGCAGGAGTGCAAGGCCAGAAATGGACAGAGGACTGTCCCACGGAGCATCACACTCCGGCAGCCGTCCACCAAGCCCCCTCACGACGCCAACGGGCCGGATGGGGAGGGGGCCCAAACCAAAGCTGCTTCATTGACCCTCCAGACTACTTCTCTGATCCCCTCCCACCCCTGGCGGGATTGAGCCCCAAGCCTCCAGTGTTGACCACCTGGAGCAACGACTCTCCTCATTATGGCCACTGCACCTTATTCCGTCCCCCTCTGGTCCGTCCTCCCACTCCCTTGACTCCATCGTTCTTGCTGGATTTACCCTTGCCCCATAACCCTGATTTCACTGATTCCTCAACTTGGTATACTGTGTTCTTTGCCTTTGTTTCTTCATTGTTCTCTGTTTATCTCTACTTTTGACAGTCTCTTCTTCAATGAAATATTCTTGGATTTTATGCCAACTTCCATGAACTCCAACTTCTGATAACAGTTGTCACCACTTTGTGTATGCCTCCAGGAGCCGATGCTTGGTGCTCGTTTTTGGTCACTTAAGTGGTTATTTATCTTCCCCATCTACCCCCCCCCTCCCCCCACCTTTTACCAGCTTTTTGCTGGGTCCCATAACTCTACTGCTCTCTTGATTCGTACTGATATTCCCTTCGTCACCCTAATTTTTCCGTTGCCTATGCAATGTTCTGCGGCCCGTATCTTTGAGTATATAATATACTGTTTCATTTATCTCCCCCCAAATATTCCCGCTTTCTCTTACTGATCTTAAGCACCGGTTTGA